TTAATGAAAATAATATATAATTTGGTTATTTCCCGTCTTATCCGTCTTATAAATCGCTATAAACCGTTCCAAACAACAAAGGTTTTTCACTATTGAAATGTAATTTGTATTTTTTGTGATAAAATTTTGTTGAAAAATAATATTAAATGAAATTTTAGAATAAATTGATGTTATTATTCAATGATATTTCTTTTTAGTAAATATAAACACATATATTTTTGGCTTTTGGTTTGGTTGCGCAAACAAAATTTTGTTTTTTCACTGTTTTATCCGTCAATTGTTTTAAGAAATTATTTGTTGTAATGTGAACATCGGGCAAACAAATTTTCACTATTTGTACTGAATTGAGTTTGGCATTGTTTCTTCAAACAAAACGTTAAAACAGAAATACTAATTTTAAGCATATTATGAAATAAAAACGTATTTAATTTTTTGTTTTTAGACAGAAATTTCTATGAAATTTTAAAAAACTATTGTAATTTCAATTAAATAGTTTTTTTTTTTTAACGTTAAACAAAAATGTTTCGTGTTTGGTGTTCACATTGTGTTCACATTGGGAAAATATTTGTAGGTTGACAAATAAAAATGTTTCACGAAAAAAAGCTGATATTTTGTTTGCTCTTCAAAAATATTTTGTGCTAACATTACAGCCAACAAATATTTGATAAAAAACGTCAAATATTTGATAGGTGTGAACGTAGCTTTAGACTAATTCTAGCGTATGCTTCAATAATCTGGTTGACTTTTTTGGACAAAATACAACAGAGAGTTCAACGTACATGCTGCTTGGGTACAAGTGGTGCCATAAGCACAACGTCAAGTAAGGCTCTAGAAACGTTGCTAGATATTACACCCATTGAAACATATTTAAGATATGAGCAGCACTTACAACTGAACGGCTCATAACTTTAGGTGAACTAGGCAAAAGCGGTTATAGGACACGTCATCAATATGTACTGGACACAAAGAAAGGCTATAAACAACGTGTCTGGTCGCATACCAGAAAGAGAATATGTCGGAAACTTTGAGACACTGAGCCCAGATAGAATGTCTTGGTCAAGCGGAACATTTCTCACGAACACTGATTGGGAAATTCATCTAAGTTACTGTTTTATAAGTGTATTAATGTTTGGCAAATTTTATTTATATTTTATTAAATTATTCGAATAAAAACTTGTATTCGTTCGTTAAAATTTAATCGACTCCTCGAATGAAAAAATATAGCACATTTTTATTCAAATAATTTTAAACACGAATTACACTGTCCAACACCATTTTTCACACACGAACCAAACCATATACATACGAAAGCACATAATTTATATGGTATAACTGCGTACTCAGTTTTTCATTTTCTGATCGTTTGTCCTTTTTAAAGGACTTCAAAATTTGAGGTACATACAATTTTCAAAAATTTTTATAAAATATTTTTAGCCACCCTATTATAACAATATGGGTATCAAACTAAAGAGGACAATTGCAGTATTTTTGTTTTATTTTTGTTTTATTTTTTAAGAATAAAAAGATGTAAAAATATCCTTATAAAGGTTTATCCTTTATTATCCTTGAAATTTTATACAAAATTGTTCAACAAAAAATATTCATAATAAAGACATTAGAATGTAGTACAAAAGTCTGAAATTGGGTCTTCATAGCACTATTTGTTTAATTTTTATAATATTTTTTTAAATATCTCTATAAATTAATTAATAAAATTTTCCCCTCTGAAAATTTCAAAGTCCTTTTTTTGTTAAAATATTATGTAGAAAAATTAGAAATTTGATATTGTGGAACCGAGTTTCTTTATCTCTATGATAAAAAGTTAAAAAAGTTGAAACTTTGAAGAATATGAAAGGATAAAAATCGATTAAGGATATCTTGCATTTTTTATCCTTTTATGTTAAAACTACCTTCTGGGAAAGTATATTTTCCTTTTTAATTTAACCCAATTATTCCGAACTCTATAGTTATTCTAAATTCTATATATCTTTTAAAAATACCTTTGACCTGCCAATAATGTTATCAAAGTAGTTTATTATATAGTTTTCACTAAAAAATACAACAGGGCGAAGGTATATCATGTGCAATTAGTAAACCACGATATACATAAATATTTAAACAAGTTAGGAAAGTATAGCCGGACTGGTGGCACAACGAAACACAAACTTATTTTATGTTGTGAATATTAATTAATTTGGTTAATTTTTAAATAATTTTTTTTACTGATTTCATAGTTTTAACTATTTAAAATTTAAATACATAAAAACGAAAAAAACTTAAAATTTCGATAAAATTTGTAATATTATGCATTGAAATATTATGTAATTTAATGTTGACCACATTCTAAACAAATGTATATGCATTTTACTGGAGGTAAACTTTTTACGATTTACGATTTGTATTTCTGTTTCTTTATAAATTTTGCACTTTGATTTGCTTTTCAAGTACTCAGAGCCAATTGACATAAAAGTCCAATTGGTTCCTGTAAAAGATGCAAAATAAATTATAAATTGAAGGAATATATTGAGTAAACTTCGTTCTTCCTCTAAACCGAAAAAGTTGTTCGTCAACGGTAATATTTTCATATGGCTTATAATTTGGTTTAAGATTTTATCAGCTTTGTCGGTTTGAGATCGAAAAGGTCCAGTGCGGCAATCACCAAAACGTATAAATCGTAATAAAAGCTGAAATCTCTTCAATAACATTACTCGAAATATATATATATATACATATGTAAATAGGCATGTTTGTAGTTTTCAATAATTCTGCTGTATGCTCTTTTATTATAATTTGTTTAGGCTGAATATTCTAATAGAACAACATCCTCCTATACCTCTCAATATCTTATGAACAATCTTCTGGTATATGGAAGAGACATGGACCACTCTATTCATCTTTTCCATAAAATAAATCATTATTGTTGGACGTATAAAAAAACGTTTGATCGTTTTTATTTTCTTTGTCGTTTTCGCTTGTACATATTTTCAACATGAAAGCTTTCTATCATCGAAAGCTTTCACGAATTTAGCAATGCCTTCAGCAAATTTTTTTCAAAAATTAGGGATCAGATCTTGAAATAGTTTCCATAACGATATCGACATTGTTATTCATTACAATTACTATAAGTAGTTGTAAATTTTTGCACAAGCAGCTATTTGATGAATTGTTGAAACAGAAAATAAAATGACTGTTATTCTCTTGTTATTTTTTACACACTAAAAATAAAATGTTGTCCAAGAATTTTTCTGTACTCTTATTTTCATAGATTTTGTTTTGATTTCATTTACTGTTGTATAAATAGTAAATATTTAGTTTTGATTGCACTTATATCCATTTAAAACATTACTAGTTCTGACCAGGCCTTGGAGGTATGAATATGAACAAAATTTTATTAGGGGCGATAACCACGCCCACAATAAAAAAAATTTAATTTTTTTTACATTCTTCTGTACAAAACATAACTAATGAGGAATTCATAAAATTTCAAGAAGATATCTCAATTCTATTAATATAAAAAATTTAATTAAATCCAAAAAATGTCTGGCCAGGCACTGATATCCACTTAAGGGTTAATATGTATATTATAAAATTAAGAGGAGAGATTTATGTTTACATATATAAACGTTTTTTGTGTAGCTTTTCATCGTGATATTAATGTTTATATTAATTATATTATAATTTATATTTATAATAATATTGCGCTTATCATATTATCCTGAAGTGGATTTTAGAATTCGGAACATGCATGTTTTAATCACTAAACCGTCATAATCATACGAAATAAAATTTTATATATTTTAAGGCCTGTTATCTCAACCACCGGTTATGTTTAATTGGTAGATATTTTGTCTGAAAACTGTCAATTTAACGCTGGGAGAAAAAATTAACAGACATTGAGATAATGGGGGTAGGTAATTGGCATAAATAATAAATTAAATTAAACAAAATATTCTCAACAAAAAATTTTTTAATTTGAATACATCTTGGCTTTTAATTTTTTTACAAAGAACTAATAAAGATAAAGACATGAAATTTGGGAGTCTGCAACTCCATATTTGTAAATATAACATATATTTTTTTCTAAAAAACTGACTATAGAAAATAAGGATATTAAAGGAGTAAAATTGTAAAGGACATTTTTTTAGTTTTTTTTTTATTCTAACATTTTAAAACTATTTTATTTGTAAAAATACTGTAATTCTCCTCTTTCAATCGATACCTATATTGACCTACTAGACCAAACCAAATTTAAGCTAAATATAATTATACTTACTCTTCCTTTCAAACTTTATAGTCCTTTTAAAGGAAGAAACGATCAGAAAATAAAAATCCAAAAATGTAGTTTAACTATATCAAGTATGTAGTTTCCAACGTATATGGTCTTGCTCATGTGTGCAACAATTTTTCCCAATTTGTTGTACGGTGTAATTGACAACCCTAGTATCTATTGTCAATCGGCAACAGCAACGAACTTGGTTGGTGTTGGGACCATATTTCTATTAATTAATTATACAATCCTCATTATAGTGTAGGGAATAAAATCTATTCCGATAGATATGTTTCTCGCTTGTACATGACATACATTAAATGTTTCTCTTCTCTTTTTATTTAATTTGCCTTTTCATTTGTATCTAACTACAAACGCCTTAAAAATTATACGAAAATGTATGTAAATAGCGGTTAATTTTTTTCAAATTAAATAATTTCTTCTAGGCTGGAATTCCCGGGATCCCGGGAATTGAAATAGTCCGGGAAAAGAAAAACACTAATGATAGGCCTAACCCGAACGTACACTCTTACTTGTTTATTCATATGGGTTCAGACGCTAAACGCCTTTGATTAGGTTGGGTAATAAAATTCCATTTTAAAATAAATTTCAAAATACAAAAAGTTTGTGCATGTTTTTTTTACAAAATTAATTTAAATTCCGATAAACCTTTAGAATTATTTAAAAAAATTCTTACATCAGACATTTTGGAAATTTTTATTCAAAATTTTACCTGTGTCGGTGTTAAGTGTATCAGGCTTGCTAAATGCTCTCGTTCGGGCGCAGATAAGTATCTTTGTTGTTTAAATCTTCTTTCCAACTCATAAACCTGAAAATATACAATAATTTAACAAAGTTTACGTATTTATTACACAAGTTGTTAAATATATTCGGTTTGTTTTTCTATTTTTATATATTCAAAATATATTCCTATCGAATTTTACTCTGTTATCGTTATATGTATAAACTGAAAATAATCCATGCCTAATACACACGAAATATGTTGTACATTGTACGAAATGCTTCGTGGTTTCGCACCATGGAATTCTTTCGTAATATATACGAAATTGTACGAAATATTTTAGTAAAATGCAAAATAATTTTAGAAAAAAAAATTGTTCATTTTACGATTTTTATAAGACATAAATATATTAGTTCTTTTAAAATAATTATTTAGAAAAAGATTGCGAATTAAAAAAAAAAAAAAAAATTTATGTTTTTTAAAAAAACATAAAAATTTTTTTAAAATTACGTTTAATTTAACTCGCTTAAAATTACGAAAATAACAAAAAAAAAATTGTAACAAAATAATTTTTTTTGTGAAATCAAAAGAAATTCTTGTATATTACTAAATAATTTTGTTACGAAAAAAATTCGTTACTTTCGTTAAATATTACATGCATTAACGAAATTATTTTTGTAAAAGAAAAATATATACGAAAAAATATGTTACGACAGGTTTTCGTACTTTCGTAAAATTAGAAAAGGGGTTTGTTCTTTTAAAATAATTATTGTAAATTTAGAAAAAGATTGCGAATTAAAAAAAAACAAATTTTTTATGTTTTTTAAAAAAACATAAAAATTTTTTTAAAATTACGTTTAATTTAACTCGCTTAAAATTACGAAAATAACAAAAAAATTGTAACAAAATAATTTTTTTTGTGAAAACAAAAATAATTCTTGTATATTACTAAATAATTTTGTTACGAAAAAATTCGTTACTTTCGTTAAATATTACATGCATTAACGAAATTATTTTTGTAAAAGAAAACAAAGTTTCTCAATATATATGAAAAAATATATTACGACAGTTTCGTACTTTCGTAAAATTAGAAAAGGGGTTGATTAAACAATATTTCGTATTATACACTAAATTTTCGTATATATTATGAAAAAAGTAGTTATGGAATTTTTTTTCGTAAAGTTAAGCATGGATTACTTTCAGTGTATGTATTAGTGAATGGGGGCTATGACTTTATATGGAGGTTATAACCAAAAATGAGCCAATCCGAGCAAAATTTCGTAAAATAATTTATCGATGGGCAAAATAAAATCATATCCAATTTTATCCGGATACCGGATATTTATGAAATATGTGGGATTTACTGACATCCGGAAGTGGAGAATTAAAACCTATTATGGACTATTCCAGAAAACAAAATTTTCAGAATGATTTGTATATACACAAAGTATATTCATGTGAAATTTTATTCCGGAAGTGGACCAATTATGAACTGATATTGAAAAAATTTAGCGGGTCTATTTGTATATAATTTTAAAACATTCATGAAGAATTTCATTCCTATATCTTTACTTAGTACTGGAATATGTCCGTTTGCGTGGTTTTCGTAAGTGGGCGTTATATGGTAGCTATGACCAATTACGAGATTATCCGTAAAAAATCGACAGCTATAACCAATTACATATGCACCGAATCGGAAAAAAAATCGCTGAGTATGTGCGTTAAGTAATTTTAGCAAGTGGGCCTTCTATATATATACAAAAAATTTAATTTCATGTGGTGATTTATATGTATATCATGAATTCGAGGAAAGAACACAGAAAAACTACCAATTTTTGACCTCATGTCTTTTAATTTCCTTCATATTACCAATATACATATGTTCTTTATGTAGAGAATAAGACAACTCCGAAACGCTATTTTTCTGACGGTTTTAATTTGTTCGAAATCTAAAAAAAATCAAAAAGGTATAAAACTTTGAAGGTTTATATCTTTGAGAGTTTACATCGGATTTTGTTGATATGAAACACAATCAAATGCTACGGCTGTACTCTTTCATTATAATTTTAATTTTTATGTTAAAACGTTAAAGATAGTGCATTTTTTATGGCAATGCATTTTTGAAATCGTTCTCCCTGTTTAAAATTTTTTAAAAGTGCATTTGCATGATCTTATTATTTAGAATGCATTTTTATGAAAGTGTACGGTGGTAATCGAATTTAAATATTTGTAATCCAATTCTGATCAGTAATGTATTTTAAGCCGTTTTTAATTCTGTGAAATACATAAAATATCAATAAAATTTAAAAAATTTCCAATATAAAACATTTAAAAAAAATATAAAAATAGGAGTATGTACGTCACAAAAAATATGTTTATATTTTGTAAAAAAGATTAACATAATCGATTAATGCACTTTAAAAAATTTTAAACAGGACGAACGATTTCAAAAGTGCATTTCCATAAAAAATGAACTATCTTAAATTTTTTTGATATAAAAATTATATTAGAATAAAAGAGCACAGATATAGTATTAGATTGTGTTTTAAACAGAGACAGTAATTGTTATTATTCTTATTTAAAAAAATTAAAATTACAAATTTTATTTGGTTTGTATTTTATTTCTCAGAAAATACAAATTGCTTTTGATTTGAATTTTTTATATTTTTCGTATAAATTACTGAGAACTTTTTCAAATAAAAATCCATAATAAAAAACACAATATTTTTTATTTTTATTTTTTGAAATTAATTATAAAACTCATTATGCGATATTTACCTTTAAAACACATTAAAAATAATCGGGTTTAAAGATTAATAGAAAATTGGTAAAATTTCTTTACCACTGATATCATCAACCAAATTTGCAGAATTTGTGCAGAAATTAGGTTCGAAAATTGGAAAATTAATATTTTTTAGGTGATTTTTATTCTTTGCTTTGAAAAATAAAAATCATTGATTGATTTCTATTTTTTGTTTGAATAAATAAAAATTACTGAGTATTATTAAAAACAACATAAATAATTTTTTATTGAAACAAATAGAATAAAAATCAAAAATAATTTTTATTTTCAATTTTTATTATAAAAATCAAGAAAAATAGTTTATTGAAGAAATCGATAAAAAAAAGGTCTGGGAAATATTTTGGTACATTCAAAATATTTCTAGGACGATTCTTTCATACTGAATTTTTAACCAAAAATTTCATGGTTAATAATTATTTTCTGTCTCTGGTTTTAAATCAACAAAATCCGATAAAACTCTCAAATATATGAACCTTCAAAGTTTTATTACTTTTTGATTTTTTGTAGTTTTCTAACAAATTATAATCATCATAATTCGCGTTTTTAGAATTTTGAAGAATTTATTGTAGATATGTCTTATATGTCTCATAGAGTAAAATTCAAGAAATCTGAAGACCATCGGTCAATTCTTAATTGATTTCTCATGGAATTCATGATATACCTCTTTTAGACATATTCATGGCAATTTTAATTCCGATACCTTTATTTAGTAGTGAAATATGCCCGTTTACATGTGTGGGAAGTGCGCCTTAAAAAAAGGAGAAAAAGAATTCAGATAGCTATTTCTTCATTCTTTTTATTTTTTTTAATTCTTTTTTCAAAAACGGCCCTTTTTTTGCTTAAAAGAAAGAATGGGATGCAAGTGGTATATCTATCTATATATACATATATATGTATATAAACATGAATATGTGTATGTATGTATGTATGTATGTATGTATGTATGTATGTATGTGTGTGTGTATGTATATACAGTTGCATTGAAAATAAAAGGAGGAAATTTTAAAAATTTTGACTATACATTATTTAGTGAATGATTTAGATTTTTATTTAAATATTTTTATAATTTATTTATTTACCATCTTCTCTAATTTTTATAATCGTTATTTTAAATATTTAAGAAATTTATTTAATAAAATATTTTTTTTTTAATTTATATACAAAATCTATTGTTCAAAAGAATAGGAGTATGTGATTTAAGTTCAACTATAATAAAAACAAAAACGAAAGGATGTGTGCCAGTACAACATCAGGCATTTTTGTAAAGATTTTATTTAGAATGGGTATATGAGCCTCCGGAACTTAATGTCTTTACGACAACGGTTTTGAGGAGCTTGATGGCACATGTCATGGCCGATTACCAACAAATATGCAGAAATTTATTCAGGAAACCTTAAAAGTTATTATACGCAAGGCCCTTTAACGTTTTGCTTTAGAATCAGTAAGTCGACAACCATGCAATGGCCTACTTCCTATGGAACGTGCTTTCACCAATTTGGAATCAATAATGTTTTCATACGACAACACCGCCATTTTATCAAATTTGTTTATTGGGAATATGAGAACATATCTTGGGGTAATATGTTTACCTACAACATTTGGTCTACGATACCATTTTACAATTTATTAGACCATACCCTTTTCGTCAAGACCCATCATTAATCATTCCTATTATATGACTTCCTTGAAAGTTGGTTTGAGCTTAATATTTTTAGATTAATGGACTTCCAATATATTTTCTGAATTCATTTAGATTTAAAAATGTAATTTGTTGTCGTATTCATGCATTAAAAATGCATCCATGTATGAAACCACCTCTAAATGTGTTACTTGGCAAACTTTAAGGTTTTCACTATATGTTAACGATGTTAAATAACTACAATTTTACTTAGTTTCAGGGGGCGTGGCACCTCCCATATGAATTAAATACAAACATTTTTAAATCTAGGAAACGCTTAAAGCTAGAATCCTCAAATTGTGCACTAACAAATTTGTCATCCATGTGAACATTTGGGTAATAAATTGGCGGATTATAAATAGGAGCGTGGCACCTCCCATATGAAAAAAAATAAAAAAACATCGTATATCTGGGAAAGTATAAGAGCAAGTATTCTAAAAGTTTGTACGGGCAACATTGAAATCCATATAAACAATCTGAAGGAAAAATGGGAGGACTAGAAATAGGGGGCGTGACACCATATATAAAATACAAAAATGTGAATATCTGGAAAACGCTTAGATCCACAATTCTTAAATTTTGCACTACCAATTTTGTCATCCATGT